TATTAACATGGTTCTTTCCCCTTGACATCATCGCAGATATTCTCTAGACTGCTTCCAAATGAATCCCGCTTAAGTATGCATGCTAGTGTATAACTTTTCTCGTGGGGTTAAACACTATATTCGAGTTAATTCGATCGTATCAGATGAAGATTTTCGCTACGGTTCATCGTACGAAATATCTTTATGAATAACACTGACAGTACATAATGAGGTTTCTCGTTTACTTTATTTTGAGGAAATTTCAATTTTAAACTACATGAAGAAGAAATACAAGCTCAAGATGATAATTAAAACTACAGCCACTGGAAAGAGAAGAGTAGACGTTAGTTTTAGTTAATTAATTAGTTAATTAATCGTCAGTCGTTAATTATCGTTAATTTTTTAGTTTTCTCTTCAAATGCAAGTTGTAAATCAAACTTGTAAATTACACTAAATGGATCCATCGTATAATTTTTGCAACCACATTTTGAAATGCTCTGTCAGTTTTGGCATATCTTCGTGTTCTTCTACACCATCAATTGCTTTATTCCAGTGTGGGCGGTCTTTACAATAGAGAGCCATACCAGGTTTTGGTAGTTGATCGAAGATACCCAATTTCACAGCAATTAGACCAATAAACTTTGGATTTATATGATAGATTGGTGAACCACAATCATTACAGAATGCACGTTCTAGTGTTGTGCCACTATCTGTATTGTTGTCATGATAAATTTTTGGTTGACCTTGTACTTTAACATCCCTTTCTGCTAGATGGAGATTGTACGATGCTAGACAACCACCACTTTGACGACAATTTTTACAATAACACAGACCGATATTTTCAGTTTTATGGAATGCAGCTTGTGGAACAGAGACAGATATTTGACCGCATAAACATTTGCCCGATATTGTAGATGCAGTCATTGTTTTAGGTTTTACGTCTCAAACGAGTGGCATAGAGCGAAAAGAAAGTAAATAATAAGGAATAGCAAAAGAATGTATACTTTATTCTTGCCTCTTTCTTCCACTAACTATACGATTATTTTTCTCTGTGCCGTTGAGTTGTTTGAGTACATACAATACTTCGTCTCTAAATAACGCACTCTATGAGTCTATGACTGAGAAAAGAAAGCAAAAGAAAAAAAGTTCACATGGACATCTGTTCCACACTTTTAAGAATAACGGAAATTATTTTAAAACACAGTTAAAGGCCGCTATGTTCGTGAATGTTACAGATATCAATTGTCAAAACTCATGTAAAAAAGCAAAAAGCCTTATAATGACCATTAAGATGGAGCTAAACATGTCTTTATAAGAGCATTTGATAATTTATAAAAAGGAGTTTGACAGCAAAGTTCACGGACTCTCTAGATCATCTTAGTACTTTGATCTTTGAATTTATATTTACGGAGAAAAAGTTATCATTTTGTCGGCAAATAACTCGCGTTTAACTTTGTCAGACTCATGATAGCCTCCTCGCATGAAAAGGCCCACGGTTTTCCGAACAACGCCTTAGTGGTACGTATTTCACCATTATAATCAAGTAATAATGTTTTTTTCAGTTTTTATTCTTTCTCTGCTGAAGATATAAATTGTTTATAGTAATATGCTTTGCGGGCAACGACTTAGTAATCAAAAACTTCATTTTTATTTTTGTAATATTTCGATTCTTTATACAGTCGTTTCCAAACCTAAAACTGAAAACTATATATATAACTTGTTTTCATTTTCTTTTCTTTTCTTTGACATAATAGTCTGACAGAAAAGTCCATAACTATTCTAGAACACATGTTTCCTTTTCTCTCAGACTAATACGTCAAACGAAAAGAAAAACAATACAAGTTGTATGTGTAGTTTTCAGTTTTACGTATAAAGGGTCGAAATATTCCACAAATAAAAATAAAAATGGAATTGAAAACAGCTGCATTAATATTGTTTATAGTAGTTGTAGAGTGAATTATTAGTTAAAGAGGAGAATGATTGTGAAAATTTCTTTTTCGTCTCTAAATAACGCACTCTATGGGTCTATGACTGAGAAAAGAAAGGAAAAGAAAAAAAGTTCACATGGACATCAGTATTGTACTTACACAACTCAATGGCACAGAGAAAAATAATCGTATAGTTAGTGGAAGAAAGAGGCAAGAATAGAGTTTTCTCTTTTAGCGTATCTTTATGTTTTTCTTGATGTCGCATGTAGATATGTGTATGTCAGACATGAGGATACATATAGAAAAGAAAAGG